GATTTTTTTGCATTTCTCATATAAATATCTTGATTTCATAGGAGAATCCAAAGCCAATGTGTCCAAAGCTCTTTGTGTCGTTCTTTGCCCTCTGTATTCTTGTTCCACTGCCATTCGCCTCACTGTTTTATTTTTCAATCACTAAGGCGGATCCAGCCACGGGCTCAGCTATATTCTTCTTGCTATTTTGCTTAGCAGGTAAATTGTGCATTTTTCATTCAAATTTTAACATTATTCATGATTTGATGACCATTTTGGTTATGAATCTTTTACATTTCTCCCTAGGTCTGGCTTATTACGTGTGGATCGTACAGTATTCCTTATTCAAGTCGATAAAAGAAGCCGAATTTGCCAAGTATTGTACATAGGATGGAGAGTTGAAACGTCAACAAGTCAAATCCAAGTAGAATAAACTTTATTCAATGAAATTGGCGTTTTTTACAAACAAAATTCATATTTGGAATTGCCTTGTTAGCATTTTAAATCATTTAAATTCAACAACGGATCAATTCTTCTAATGACTCGTAACTAAGCACAATTAACAGCCGTAGTTTTTAATCAAAATGTGGATTAAATTTTATTTAGTGAAATTTGTGTCAAGTTTCAATCAATACGGGTTGAAAAATAAATTTAAAAAAGAAAGAAATAGTCAATTGACCTTACTCGCAGTCTATGAAATACACAAATGTTTGAGATTAAACTTATTGTTAGCATAAGTTAGAATAATTGTTTACTAAAACTAAATGTACTCTGTATAAAAAACCATATCGATCCAAAAAGGCATCATACATTTTTCAAAGCAATATAAATTCAGTGAAGAGAAAACATTTATCTGAGAAATAAAATAACGTTTGTTCAATAAGAAATTTCATGTTTTACTTTGTGATTCAGAAAATTATTCGAATTCATTGCATTATTGTACTTCTAAAGAACATTCGAAGTAAGTCCACCGCTGTTGCGATATACTGCAGTGCTCTAATCCTGATTATTTTAAATAAAAAAACGTAAATGCAATTTGAAATTCAAGTCGACTAACATGAAACATTCAAACGACGATTTTTTTTGTCGAAAATAAAGAATTCTCTTCCCATTTAATGCAAAATGAGTTCAATGAGATTTGGACATCTATTGTGTTTTCGATGTATCGAGGTAATTCAAGAGAATTGAAGACACAAATTATGTACATGTAAACATGGCCAATGTTTTACATCCAATTTTCTTGCAGCATAAACTAATTGAGTTCGTTCGCCAATAGCCGTTGACCCCATCGATGCTCTTTTTTCCAACCAATTCAACAAAATAACCCGCTTTTTTCTCTTTGTTGCGTGTTTGTTTCTGTCACACTTTAATAAATAATAAACCAAATTTGTATGTCCCCTGTGTGGTTTATTTATGTCCGGTCATCAGAAAAGTGCTCCATTATATATTTATCTGATGTGTACATTGTACAACCACACCCAAACATCTAAATTATTTCCAAAAAGCGTGGACACAATGAGTAATTGACTCGTGTTGTCAACAGGTTTGATTTTATTGATTCAAAAGTATCTTTAGTTATAAATAAAGTCTAAGGATACCAATTATGTTGATATTCTATAAACTGATTATTTACAATATACGTAACATAATTTTAAATTTGTTATTCATCAATTTAATTTACGTATGAAATTAATAATTTCCTTTCGACTACACCGATAAAATAAAAATAAGCTGCCAAGTTTATAGCCACTTCTAAAAACAATTGCTATGTGTGCTCTTCTTTTGAACGACAACACACCATGTGCCCAACTATGAAACATCGTCTATATCAAACATAGATATTAAGTGTAGGCTCGCTCAATGAATATCGGAATCATTTTCTAAATAAATAAAATTCTAAATTTATGCTACCGGCAAATCACCCCATTTTCCAATCATCACAATCATTTTAAACTTCTTCGAATAAGGGAATTCGTGTTGGCCTTCATATTTTATGCGTTATTCTTTCATTTCATTCATTCAGGGTTGCTCACTTTAAAAAAATGCCTTACTGTACGTCGGATCACATTGTTTTCAACAAAAAAATGTCTTCTTTAAGGTGTCTTCTATATTTATGCCCTTTCCACTTACTTCCAAAAATAGACACATTTAAACAATAGATTTGATTGTTCTTTGATTGAATTAATTGTGACGCTATCAATTGATACATTCACCTTCTAATCCAGCATGACTGAAAATGTTATCAACATCGGAAAAAATGAGATACAAGATAATCTTCAACTTACAAAATGTATGTGAAAGACGACATGATTTGGATTTGGTTTTGAACTTCCCTCATTTGAATAATTCAAATTGAATTAAGCTAATTTGTTCAATCAAAAGGAAATAATGGATTGCATTTTCACAAACATCTCTCGATGATGATATGAATTTGATTAAATGTAGCTTCGCTGTGGCTTGTGGCGAGAGCTGCGTCTAAGGCAAACTACATGCTACTAGCGCCACACTGAAATACATTTGATTTGCATTGTACACGTAAGCGGTGGGAGTTCGAACTATCAAATTACAACAACAAATTACACAGATAGGCGCATCCCTCGGCTTGTGGTGTGAGCTCGATGTTCATTTCTTCGAAAATGAGTAACGAAATATCGTACAAGGTTTGTGATATTTAGTTTTACCGACATATTTTTTCTTCATGTCCGTTTTCTTCATCACCTTCTGCTTAAATTGTGTATTTACAAGGACATTTAAACTGACTCTCCCAGCTTTTTCTCTCTCATTCTAACGGTCACACAGACTCGTTTCTTTGTGAATGGCTATTAGAGTGATAGAGATGTCGTTCACAGAACTCAATTTTAATGTTCTTTGGCACACAATTTGTGAATCAAACATCAAAATGAAGTCATAATTTTGAACATGCAGTTTACAGAACTACCGATAGCCGTTTACTCAACGGAATGGGCAGATTTACCGTTGATTTACTAAAAATACATTCAAATTGAAGCAAGCAAATAGAAACAAAAACTCACAAATAAGGAGAAATGGAAATAGAAAAACAAAGCCAAAAGTAAGAACCAATGTTTTGAATTTCATGTCAAATAAAAGCAATGTTTCACAAACAGATTTTTCATTGTATTTTTCTCATTTTTTAAATAAGAGCTCACATTTTCATTACCAGTCAATCTGTAGCATAAGTATCTGTCATCACTGACACTGACAGCTATTGTTCATTAGTATTAAGAATCGTACAATAAATCAGTCGTTTACCAGCACTCATACTGTTCACTCATTCACTGCGTTACTACAAGGCTGAATGTCACAAAATCTGTTGTATCGGTGACTTTGATTTGAAAAAAACGTTTGTTGTCAGCATCATTTGTGCTTAAGAGAAATTTTCTTCCAGTTGATTAATAAAAATAATTGATAAAAATGGTAAAAGTTAAAAGAAATACTAACTGTTATTGTTTTATTTTTCATTATATTTTAAATTGATTACTGTATATAATTATTTTGAAGCCAAAGC